AAGAGATTATAAGATTACTTATATATATTTACAATGAAAAAATGACCAGCATTATAAGATTTATGAAGCGATCAAAGAGATTAAGAGAATACGTCAAAGATCTGAACATAATATATACCATTTTGTCTTGGTCATGGAGATGTTTCCAACATAAATTTAAAAGGAGTTGCCTTGATTGTATTTGCATGTCAACCCTAAATAGCTTGTTTACTTTCGACGTGGAGTTAATGAAGAAGAAAAGTTTATGATTCGTTGAATTAGAATAAGCAAATGGCAAGCAATTTTAATGAATGTGATCTTAGTATTAATCATTTTATAATTTTGAGGATCAAGTAATGCAAAGTTCAGCTACTTTGAGATATATTGGCTAATATAGAAAGGTGATACAGCTATGCTTTAAGTTATAGAATCAAACTTAATTTATGAAGAAGAAAATATAAATTAGGAGCTTTGTCGTGAGAGGATATCATTGAGAAATGAGATTAAGAGATAAATGCTATGAAAAGACCAAAATGTTGGTTAAAACAAAATAAATGCAACAGAAATGAGCATTTTAAGATGAATGTATTTATGTAAGGGAGAGAGTAAAATGGTTGCATCGCATAGACTCGGAGATGACATATTTTAAGGCAATGTTGTGGAAAGAAGGCGCAGTTTTGGTGTATAGAAGAAAGAATAGAACATGCACCTGTACAGTAGAGAGATAAAGTTAATTTAAAAACCATATGAATGACAAAAAAAAAGGAGGATTTACATCAAGTCATTCAATTCCTATGTATTTACATATCTAACACCAAAATTTCAACATTGACATATATGCCACCTTTATCTTTTATCTATGCATGAAAATATTTACATACTCATGTTAACGCTACAGGGTGGTGACGATGGAACCAATGATGCTTGATTGAATGAAGATATCATAAGGGAGGTGTAAAATAAGCTTGATAGTGCAGTGAAGCCTTCACAAGTTCCATTTGAGCTCGGTCTTGACTCGATGTAAAATAAGCTTGATCTGTTCAAAGTATAGTGCAGTAAATCCTTCACAAGTTCCATTTGAGCTCGGTCTTGACTCGATCTATACAAAACAATCTTTAAGGTTCAGTTACTCTTACCTGGGTTTGAATTGATTTTGAGATTCAATTGACCTTTGACACCCTGCAAATTGAAAGTCTCCATTTCATAAGGACTAAGGAATAAACGAAGAAGCTTTGTTTGAAGTTTTAGATTAAAGCAAATTAACTCAAAACACACTTGGACAGATTTAACATATAGGTTCACAAGTATATAACTAAAGCTCCCATCAATATTTGATAAATTCATTAACAAAGTATCTACAAATAAGTTGCTAAATAAATCATTAACTTGTTATCAATTTTATGCCTCTTCAATCTGAGAGTGGTTACTAATTGAATCTCACGTTATAGTTTAACTCTGGCCGGCTGTATCGTTGAGGCAGTTTTCATTAAAATCCCACTGACTTGTTTATTAACCAAAGCGGTACTGAACAGACACTTCAAAAAAATATCCTCAGCAGACATTAACATTTAAAAGTTTAGTTGTGTGGCTTTTTAGGGTTTTTTGTTTTCTTTCAATTACTACAGCGTTGGTACGCTCCCACAAGAAGAAAGTTGGAGAATCTAGAACAGTTTATGCAGGGTTCCATGCTTCCAATTTAAATAGAAATATTTGCTAGATAAACCTAACACAATTTTACATTAGCATTTGCAATTTTTTAAAGCTGGATTCGAACTGTTTGCATCGACCATAACCCCTTTTGATGGAAAGCATCATTCATTGGGACTAATAAATGCAACCGTTATAAACAACATTCATGCAAATCACATTTCTTTCATTTTACAGGTATGAGTGCATATATGCTTACTATATTGTTGAATCTAAAGTTGTCATGTGGTACATGCCCGAAGCATAGAGCAGTAGGAAACCGAGAGAGGGCGAGAGAAAGAGTTGACGCGGCAATTGTCCCCAATGAGGTAAAGTGGGGGTGTTTGCCGGGCTTTCAAACTCATTTTATATATACATAATATATGTTACAAGAGGGGGAGAACCAAAATGGCCTGCCTCACCTTTTACATAAAAGGTCCCTTTATTCATAGACTATAGGAGGACAACAGTAAAAGTACAAACTTGCCCCTAGGAGTTATTTTCGTTGGCATCTCTTCACGTCTCTGGCACCCTTTGGTATATCTAGGCTTGTCCAATGAGGCAGTCGGCCGAGGTGGTTGCTCAATAGTGGTTGCTCTATAGTGGTCATCTTGTCAGGTCTAGGTTGTCGCTCAACGGTGGTC